ATACTTTGGCTTTAAGTTTGTCTCTAGGAAGTCTCTCTGTATCTAAACATATGCAAACCTTGTTTAACATTGGTTCATATATATATATGAACTTTTTCTGCATCCAATTCTGATTGTGGCCATTAGATTCTACTTCCAACTATGGTTGATGCTATCCAGGAATCCTAATTGGCGCGTACGCGCCGGCGGCGCGCACGCGCCAGCCCACACGGCCCAATAGGCGGCAAGACACGGTTAGTTTTTCTTTTTTCCGAATTTTTCTATATATGTGTAAACATTCAACCCAGATTTGAATACTTTCAACACCGACTTGAAAACTTTCAACTCATATTTGAAAACTTTCAACTCAGATTTAAAAATTTTCAACTCAAGATTCAAAAACTTTCAACTCAAGATTTGAAAACTTTCAAATCGGATTTGAAAACTTTCAAGTACGGATTTAAAATTTTTTAAGTTAAGATTTGAAAAATATGAAAACTTTCGACTCAGATTTAAAAACTTTCATCCCATATTTGAAAACTTTCGACTCCGATTCGAAAACTTTCGACTCGAGATTTGAAAACTTTTAACTCAGATTTAAAAATTTTCAACTCAAAACATTTTTTTAAAAAATAAGCGTGCTAAAGATTAAAAAAAGTAATAAAAAAGCGAAAAAAAAGCGAAAAAGAAAAACGAAAAAAAAATCGTGAAAAAAAGAAAAAGAGGGCTGATGGGCTTATGGGCCGGGAGCAGCTGGCGCGCGCGCGCCAGCTAGCAACCCCTGATGTTATCCATGTCCAAGGTGTAAGGAACATATATGTATGAGTAATTTGCTTCACCTGCCACATAACAAATGAGCGCTAAGTACAATTACTATATAAGATATAATTAGAACGAAAATTGCTTAATATATAATTAGAAAGAAGATTGCTTTGGTTGGCTACGCAAGCATGCCAACGAGAGAGCAGACTAGCACGATAGAGCTTGGGCTTTGGATATGGGCTCAACAGGGAGCGATCCGTTTCATCGCTAAAAAACATTAGAAGTTAGGAGAGAAACGTTTCATCGTACAAACGTCGTACAAAAACAATCGTATATATAGCAGTGCTGATAAACATGTTAGCAGTATCAAAGCACGAAGGTGTATAGATGAGCATTTATATATCCGCAGCCATCACGCGGGTGAATCGATCTAATCTGCTTGCACACGAACGGACTTGCTCCTGCATCATAACCAGAAGATCTGAGGACCATGCGAGAGCACAAGTACTGCTAGCACATGGCTGAACGGCCTTGCGGCGGAGATGACATCATGAAGCTGAACAGGCTGCCCACGGTGGTCCGTCAGTGAAAGCTCCAATCTGCACCGATCCGAGAAGCCCGGGTCCGACCGGCCCCCACGGGTGAAGATTCCGGGGTGGATTGCCCCCGCAGGAAAATCGCAGGGAGACACCGGTGATGATCGGCATGGAGATCGCGGGCGGCGCAGCGTGGTTGATGGCTGTTGCGTTGCCTTTTTTCTCCTGGTAGGCTGTGACCAGCGATGGCCACCACAAATCCGTCGTCTCCCGCGATATTGCAAATTGGTTTCATCGCACTTCTGGATAGGAAACTCGACGCACTCCTACCTAGCACGCTAACTGTCAAAACTGTTTGGGGATTTGAATCCGCCGGATGTAGTATTGATCTGACGATCTAGTTGTGAATCCTTTGCCCTAGAGGGCCTCCTGCCCACAATAGAGGGCAGGATTATAAGATAAAAACCTTAACCAATAGGTATCGGTTTCTTAAATCTACTTTACAATATTATCAAATCAGGACTTTAGGCCGTTCTGTTATATACAAGGAAACGTAATACCCAAGTCATGATCCATACATATTCCATAGATATAAGTTATCCCCTATAACTAGTTGGATAACCATGCCGTGTGGGTATGGGGTACCCATAATCTCCATAATGTGACCTAGCAAAGATCATTTCTCCAGTAGTACTAGTTAATTAGTACCCAACGGGCATGGGCATGGGCACGAGGTTTTGCCTAATAGACTTTGCGGACATGGGTTAGACACGGGTGCGTGGGTCTGGGGCCGAGCATGGATTCGCTCTGCCCGTGCCCGATCCGGTCCATTGTCATCCTAGTAAATACGTTGCTAGCTAAGAAAGGAGGAAAAATACGTGGGCTTATTGGATGTATGTAGGAGTAAAAATGGGATGGGTACTTCCCGAGGCTCGCGAGAGGAATATGAGAGAAAAAATTAGATACCCGATTATCCGAGTTCGAATCTAAATTCGTTAAAAAATATAGGTTAGGATACAGGAAGACATGTATCTGCTCATATATCCCATATTATAAAATATGTATGAAAATTTATTATAAATCCATCTAAAAACATGATAAAAGATTGGTTAATCATTATTTTAAGTGCTCATAGGTAATATTGTATATTTTTTTCTTGATGTATCTCTTTTAATATTTTAATTATCTTAAGCCGTGTTTAGTTGCATTGTCAAAATTTTTTTGACGTATACGGACACACATTTAAAGTATTGAACGTAGCCTAATAATAAAACAAATTACATATTCCGCTTGTAAACGGCGAGATGAATATATTAAGCCTAATTAATCCGTCATTACCAAATGTTTACTGTAGCACCACATTGTCAAATCATGGTGTAATTTGGCTCAAAAGATCCGTCTCGCAATTTACGTAAACTGTGCAATTGGTTTTTTTTTCGTCCACATTTAATGCTCCATGCATGTGTCCAAATATTTGATGTGACGGAAAAGTTTGAAGGGAACTAAACACAGCCTTATTATATTTAATATATATGAATTCGAGATAGAAATTAATATCCGTTCCTGAATCCAATTCGAAGGAAATAATATGGGATAGGATACGGGATAAGTGATATGTTATTTGGTACTACTTATACCCGGCTCTAAATTTAAATTTAAAAGATAATATGAGTTAGGATATAGAAATGTCATAATCCGATCACCATACCCTACCCGTTTTTACCACTAGATGTATGAACCTAGAATTCTTATGTCGATTGTTGACATGTGTTCATTGGACACGCGGCTTCTTTTTCTTACATGGGCTGTCACAAACTATTCGCGTGGGCCAGAGACGTCCGTCCGCCTGCTCGTTAGACCGATCTCTTCCAATCTGCAGCCCTGTTTGGCACTGGCACAGCTTCAGCTCCAGCTCCATCTCTTCTAGAGCTAGAGCTCAGCCAAACAATTTCAGCTACACCTATAATGAGAGCGGAGCTGGTTGGAGCTCTCTCACAAAATAAACTAAAAATGTGGAGCAGGGTTTAGGCAGTTTCACAACTCTACTCCAGAACCAGCTCCTGAAGCTAAATTTAGGAGTTGGAACTCTACTAAATAGGTCTTGCATGTCACACGAATAATAACGAATAATAACCACATTAAGAGCGGGTCGATGACTGGATGTGTTCCGGATTAGTAGGTTCAGAAGGCTAAGGCATTGTTTAGTTCCTAACTTTTTCTTCAAACTTCAACTTTTCTATGACATCAAAATTTTTCTACACACATAAATTTTTAACTTTTTTTTTCAAACTTTCAATTTTAGTCAAACTTCCAATTTTAACGTGGAACTAAACACACCCTAACTACGTACCGATTTACATTCATGATATATACGTACATTACGGTCCATATATATATATATATATATATAGCACGTCACGCTTAATATCATTCTGGTTATAAAACTGGTAAATTGATGAGCGCGTCTAACGGCGGTCGATCGATCGAATGGATAAGCCCAAATATATAACAACATTCCGGTTATATATTCAACAAGAACAACTACTAGTAGATAGCCAAAGCGTTCCATGCAGTTTAGGAGAGTTTTCCGCCGGAAAAGAGATAAATTAGGAGAGTTTTCAACAGTGACAGCCCAGGCGCCAGAGCCGGATGATCGTGCATGCCTATCGTGATTAGTTAGCCCAGTCAGCTCGATCAGATTATTTCATATAAAGGCAAGGACGCAAGGTGAGGTGAGAGACACATCGATATTATCCAAACACCATATAAACCTTTCTCACCTTCCGGATTCCGGCCATCTTCGTTTCTCGTCTTCGCCGGCGGCCGCCGCATTTCTGATCGGCCGATATATATCGGATCTTCAGACTGGTCGCAGCAGGTTCGTGTCCATTCTGTCAGTTTGATCTCTTTTTTGATCGCGATCGATCGTCTTTGTCATTTCAAATTCATTCAGGCGTGCCTGTCGTAATCGAACTCGATTGATCGACTACGTAGAGTTCCATTTGGGCTTGATTGGCCTCAGGTTTGAACTGATCAGTCATCTATTCATCGTCGGCTTGAAATTAGTCAGCCGTTGTTAGGCAGGTTTTGCTTGGACTTTCTAGGATTCTGAAGAATGAAGATATATATATATATATCCTGAATGACGATTTTGCAAAACAAAAATTGTTTACGACGATCGAGGAGGATAAGTATTAGCATTATTATATATGGTGGTGTAATTAAAAAGGTACGATTTGTTTTTCCCGAAAAATATGTACGATTCGCTAATTACTAGGCGATCAATATATTGCAAATTAACCAAAAGGAATATTATTCGCTCGTAGGAGGACTGCTTAACTAGTCCATGAATAATCAGGATAAGGGGTTCTGTGCTGTGTCAGCGTATAATAACAGTAGATGCACCGTACCCGTGTAATTGTGATAGAACTTAATTAATTTCAAACATTATCTTTTACTTTGTTTCTAGTACTGTTCCGGCCACGTATATACCCACTAGACCAATAGTACATAGGTACATGTGCTTTGCATGGTGACACATATGCATATAAGGTTTTTTAAGTTAGTGCATGCACACCGAAATATTATTACTCAATTATTTTGTATAATAAGACTAGGTATTTGCTTGACTCTTTTTCCTAAACAATATGGATGTTGATCTTCAACCAGTTGCTTTCAGTCTTGATGTTGCTTGATTTTGTACGGATACTCTAATAAGTCAAAGATGCTTTAGCTGCTTGGCCAGCCAATAAGAAACAAACAAACACACCATGGATCATGATAAATATGCATTGCTACTCTAATAAGGAACTAAGGAAGTCAGCAAATGCAGGTGTTGTGTTTTTTTTTCTCTGCATGGTCCTAGCTGTTTAATTAACAACTAGAATGCACACTATAAAGGGAGGAAAAGGAGGCAGCTAACATGAAAGTATCTCACAAAGTCACAGCTAATGTGCTAGTCAATTTGTTCTCTCACACACTGAGAAAGATGTTTTTTTTTTAGAACTGAGAAAGAGGTAAAGACTCCCTATTAGGGGGTTGGGTACAAGTATAGTAAAATGAACATGGTGAAAGGAGCTCACAAAATGGTAGTTAGCCACCAAATTTTTTCAAACATTTAGACCATCCATGCATATGTTTAGAAACTTATCTGGATTGTTCCAGATATTCTTAAAAATATTCTTTTAATACTATGGTTGTACCATAGCACATATATCATAACGCAAAGCTACAAAAAGGCAGTGACCATCTATCCTCTCATGTTTGACTTAACAAACACGTACACAAAAACCCAAAAAATGTGAAACAAGCAAGAACCGAAGGAGCTGCAAGCCACATCATGCCTTGCATTGTCACCAACAAATCAATAAATACCTTTCAAAATAAATAGACACCAGACATATTTTTGTGTCACTAGTATAATACAAGAATAAATGAATAGACACCAGACCTATTATTGTGTGACTGGTATAATGTATTTATATCCACACCAACATGATAGAGAGTACACGTTACACGTACTTTGTTTTGGTCTCATCTGAAGTCTGAAATCTGAAGCAAATAAACAAAGAATTGCAGAGAAGAAAAAATGTGCTCTCTTTGTGTTGACCACTTAGCTCATCCATGGAGATAAGCCCAGAGGATGCGTACAAAGCTTCTCTCCTCCGTTGAGCTGTATCCATGGTTGTTATTGCAAATTTAACAACTCCTTGTCACCATTGCACACAGCCAAAAACGCCCCTGTATTCCTGTACAGAAAACATGCACAAACTGTATTTTATTTCTTCAGCATGTGCTCTGCTTCTGTATTTTCGTCAGGGAGAAATGTCTGACCTTTGGAGAGAGGCTCAGTGTTTGGAGACTGTCATTTGCACTGTTTTATCCAATTTGGAGATAGTGGTATGCTACTGTCTACTACCATTGTTAGTAGTACTGTACTGTTTTAGAGTCTTGGACCATAAATATCTTACGAGTTTATAAGTCTCCCAAGATCTTTTTGCCGTTTACTCTTCACTGTAGTGTCCAGTTGTCCACTCCACTATTGCATCAGCTAATCGAAATCGACAATGGTGTGCAACCTAGTGCCTACCATTACATAGTCTCAAAGAAAGTGTACAATTATTTCAGTAAAGGACAGATCAGAAAAGAAAGAACATAAATACCAGCCATCTGCAAAAGTTATTACAACTACAATTTTATAATAACTTCTTTAATTTCTCTCTGCATGGCTTACATTACATTGTACACTCTGTATTCCTTGTGGTTGCGGCTATAAATAGGAGAGCACAAGAGTTGTAGCTTCCCTTGTCTTGCTCAAGTGTTCAATTTTTTGTGTGCGTTTTTCAGCTCGTGTGTGATTGAGAAGTACACAAGGAGAAGAAGGAGAAGACGACGCAGCTGCCATGGGAGAAGAGAAGCAGAATGACGAGAGGAAGAACAAGTACGCCGTCGGGTGCTCCATCATCGGCTCCATCATCTCGGTCCTCATGGGCTATGGTAAACTACATTAGAACACCTAATTGACATGTTATTATAACATTTTCGATATCGGTGATTTTAGTGAGATCAGTGATTTACCGCCGATCTCTGTCTCGTTCAGCATGTACGTGTTAGCGGGATTCACGTGTCACGTGAGTGCGGTGTGTGTGCGCGTCTTTCATGTAATCGCGCGCGAAAAAATAAAGAAAAAGAAGGAAAATTGGCATGATGAAAAATAATTAAATTGCAGACACTGGTGTGATGAGTGGGGCGATGCTGTTCATCAAGGAGGACCTGAAGACGAACGACACGCAGGTGCAGGTCCTCGCCGGGATCCTCAACGTGTGCGCGCTCGTCGGCTCCCTCACCGCCGGCCGCGTCTCCGACTGCGTCGGCCGCCGCCTCACCATCTCCCTCGCCGCCTGCATCTTCCTCGTGGGCTCCGTCCTCATGGGCCTCGCGCCCAACTTCGCCACGCTCCTCGCCGGCCGCTGCGTCGCCGGCGTCGGCGTCGGCTACGCGCTCATGATTGCGCCGGTGTACGCCGCCGAGATCGCCTCCGCCGACATCCGCGGCTCGCTCACCTCGCTCCCGGAGATCTGCATCAGCTTCGGGATACTCATCGGCTACGTGGCCAACTACCTGCTCGCCAAGCTGCCGCTGGTGTACGGGTGGCGCGCCATGCTCGGCCTCGGCGCGCTCCCGAGCGCCGCGCTCGCGCTCGGCGTGCTCGCCATGCCCGAGTCCCCGCGGTGGCTCGTCGTCCAGGGCCGCGCCGAGGAGGCGCTCTCCGTGCTCCGCCGCGTGTGCGACAGGCCCAGCGAGGCCGACGCGCGGCTCGCGGAGATCAAGGCCGCGGCGGGGCTCGCCGACGACGACGGCGCCGCCGCCAACGCGGGCAGCGGCGGCAAGGGCGTGTGGAGGGAGCTGTTCCTGCACCCGACGCCGCCGGTGCGGCGCATCGTCATCGCCGCCCTGGGGATCCACTTCTTCCAGCACCTCACCGGCATCGAGGCCGTGGTGCTCTACAGCCCGCGCATCTTCAAGGCGGCCGGCATCGCCAGCCGCAACTCGGTGCTCGCTGCGACCATCGGCGTGGGCGTCACCAAGACGGCGTTCATCCTCACCGCCATCCTCCTCGTCGACCGCATAGGCCGGCGGCCGCTCTACCTGTCAAGCCTCGCCGGCATCATCGCCTCGCTCGCCTGCCTCGGCATGGGCCTCACCGTCATCGAGCGGTCGCCGCCGCACCACTCGCCGGCGTGGGCCGTCGTGCTCGCCATCGCCACCGTGTTCACCTTCGTCGCCTCCTTCTCCATCGGCGTCGGGCCGATCACCTGGGCCTACAGCTCGGAGGTGTACCCGCTCCGCCTCCGCGCGCAGGGCGCCAGCGTCGGCGTCGCCATCAACCGCGTGATGAACGCCGGCGTGTCCATGACGTTCGTGTCGCTCTACAAGGCCATCACCATCGGCGGCGCCTTCTTCCTCTTCGCCGGGCTCGCCGTCGCCGCCGCCACGTTCTTCTACCTCCTGTGCCCGGAGACGCAGGGCAAGCCGCTGGAGGAGATCGAGGAGGTGTTCAGCCAGGGGTGGCGCGCGCGGCGCCGGGCGTCGGCGGCGGCCGTCGAGATGCCGGCCTCCGGCGGCGGCGGCGGCGGCGGCGCCCCGATGGCGTAGTGCGAAGTGCACCGCGGTGCGCGTGCGTGAACAAAGTGCAACGCACGCGTGTGGATGACGTGGAAGTGTTTGTCACTTGGGGAAAAGAACGAATATTCGCTAGCTAGCTAGTGGTACAGATGGCTAGAGATTGAAATGGAAGGGACCTGATACTACTACTGTTGCATTTGTAGGAAACGACTACTAGCTAACAATGTCATTCTGGTGTCGTGTGGTGTTTAGAAAAAACAAAATCGTTGAAATACAGTAAAAAAAATTAAGAAAATAAAAATTTGTGCTACAGCAATGGTAATAGTCATCGGGTGTCAAGAACAAAAAAAGCATTTCATACCGTATAATTACAGGTGGACAAGGAATGGACCAGCATGTCCCTCAATGCGGCTCAAATAGTCACATTATTTACTGAATTTTTGTCGGACATACTCCAGGCCAATAATTCTGGAAACATTGGTAGATTTGTTAGAGAGAGAGAGAGAGAGAGAGCAGATTTGGTGCCTCATCTAATCTAAATGCTAACCTTCGATAAGCTACTAAAGTCCAGGCGCACAGCGTATTGCATAGTTAATGGTTGGGCCAAAAAAACGAAGTGAAATTGGACCGGAAGTTAGGAGATATAGGAATAAGTTCACCTACCGTCCCTTAACTTTACATCAGGTCTGTCTGAGGTCCATAATCTCCAAATACCATAAATCTTCACCCCTAAACTATATAAAAACGTGCAATTTCGATCCCAAGATAGTATGGATCCGTGGTTTCACTGACGTGGCATCCTAGCCAGCAAAATAAAAGATAAAAAATTTATGGGGCCCACATGTAAGTGAGAAGGGAAAAAATGTAGGGCCCGCATATCTTCTTTTTCTCTTTTCTTCTCCTCTCTTATGTTTTCTTACCTCTCATCTCTTCTCTTCTCTTAACCGGTGGCAGAGAGGGGAGAGGCGGCCGGTGAGCCTGGCGAAACTCCGCCGCCTCGAGCGCCTCGCAATGGGAGAAGGGAAAGGGGAAGAGGAGGCAGCCGGCGGGAAATCCATACTGAGCCAGCGGAACGCCGCCGCTGTGACCCACCCGAACAGCTACTGGCGGTCATTGAAGGAGGGGGTATGCGGGTGGGTGTTGGTGGCGGCTAGCTCTGCGAAGTCCAGGAGACGGGTGTGGGCGAAGCGCTGGTCATGGTAGTAGGCATCGGTGGCAGCAGAGTGGCAGCGGAGGGTGAGGTGGGCATTGTGCCTCGTCAATTCCACGGTGGTGGCAGTAGTGGCACCGCTCTAGAGAAGCACCTCGTCCCCGCCACCTCCAACACCGATGGTACCGTCCTCACCGTCCGCAAGCCTCCCTCCAAGGATAGCCACAGCAAGGTCATCGACCATGGCCGTCGCATCCGCATGCCCCATCATCTGCGATCTCAGCCACAAGTTTGACGGCCAGACCATCGACTGGCTCCTCCGTCTGGCCGAGCCATCCATCATCCCCGCCACCAGCACCATCACCACCCCGGCCTCCTTATCCACCTCCTCACCTTTCTCCCTCCACTCTAATGACCTCCTCTTCCCCTGCTCCGCCCCCTTCATCCTCGGCAAGCACCTCCATGCCACCGACAACCACAAACCACCTCCCCCACGCTCGCTCCCGCTACCGACGCCCCCACCCAGGGCTTCTGGGCGCTTCCCGCACGGGCCGACTTCGGCCAGCTCTATAGCTTCGTGGTTGTGTTGGAGATGATGGCCGCCGCAGCAGCCGCGCCCGCCATGCCTGGGGAGGCGTCCGGAACTACCTCCGTCGCGACGCACGCCCGCCCCGCACCCCCATCCACCATCGCCTCATCGTCCCCGTCGCTGCACCACGCCCCTTGTTCCCCACCGCCCTACCGCGCCTCTCCCTTCCCCCATCTCCCGCTGGCCACTTCCCCTCTCCCCCATTCCCTCCTCTCGTTGCGTGGCGCTCGAGGCTTGCAGAGCTTGGCCAGGCTCGCCGGCCGCCTCTCCCCTTTCTGCCGCTGGTGAAGATAAGAGAAGAGAAGAGAGGAAAGAAAAGAAAAGAGAGAAGAAAGGAGAAAAAGAAGATACGCGGGCCCCACATTTTCCCCTTCTCACTTACATCTAGGCCCATAATTTTTTTTATTTTGATGACTAGGATGCCACGTCAGCGAAAACACGGATCTATACTGCCTTGGGATCGAAATTGCATGATTCTGTATAGTTTAGGGCAACATCAATGTATAATATGGAAGTGGGCATTAGTGTGGGACCATGTGTCAGTCAGTAGTAGTTAAATTAGCCATCACAATGTATGGGAATAAGATAGGGCCACAGAATAAAATAAATCGCTACCCCCAACCTCCCGGGTCTTCCTCCCGCGGCCGATGCGATCCCCACTTCCCCAGTCTCGACTCCATCGCTACCTTATCCAAAAAAACAAAAAAAAAAAGAAAGAAGGAGACTCCATCGCTGCCACTACTCGCATCGCTCGATCCGGAGCGGTCGGCCGCCGCATCAGGCCAGCCTCCGAGCCGCCGACGCCTCGATGCCCAGCAGCCCAGGCTGGCGGAGCAGCAGTTCCCTAACCTGGAACGCCTCTCCATCCAACTATCTCTTCCGATCCCGATCCAAAATCCTTCCGCTCAACGCCGCCATCTATTCCGGTTGACTCCGACTTGATGTCGTCCTCATCACCGCCAGTCCCCCCTCTGGTTGTAACCAATGTGCTTGCTGCTGAAATCCGTTGAAGCTTGGAGTAGAATTGCCATTTGGTTGATAGTTGGTAGGAGCCCCAAAAGGATGGAAGTTGTGAAAAGTGGGTGTTGAGGATTGAGAAAACTGTGTTTGAGAGAATATTGAGGAGAATTGTGGAGAAGTGGAGTTTTGGCTACCATTTCCAGAAGCTTGGCTTTGGGAGCCCTGGCTAAGCATGTGCATAAAACCTCTGTTGGGGGGATTCATCTTGTTTGATGAAATGCAGGAAAAAATGACTTTGAGTTGTGTTTGTATTTGTAGAGGATGAGGTTGCAGCGTTGCTGCAAGAAGTTGCAACGGCTACAAATGTAACGGCTAACTGCTACTCTATTATTTTAGTACAACTAACAGAAAATCACTGTACACATGCTATTTTTTGTTCCTCTCTTGCCGGCAGTAGCACTACTACCTGGATGTTGCTATTATCTACTCCCACAATGGCTACTACCTGCTTAGATGGGTGCATTTATTGCCTATTGCCTGCTTTTTGAGCACATTGTGGTTGCCCTTAGGGGTGAAGATTTCCGATATTGGATATTAGGGACCTCAGACAGACTCGTTGAAAAATAACAGGGACGGTTGGTGAACTTATTCTGGAGAGATAAGGGTTGTGCCGGTGTGGCCCAACAGCAATGGTCTTGTGCTTGTAGTCTTGTAGAGATTTGGGCCTAACGGGCCTCCTAATTTATTGTGTGGCCTATGGTAACAGTTTGCTGCGCTCCAGCGGGACTACACGTTTTTCTTTTTTCTTTTTTTTTCTCCTCCCTCTTCTTCGTCTCCTCGAGAGTTTGGGAATTGTGAGCACTAATAATTTTACCCCAAAATGGGAACGGTGTTAATGCTGGCAAATTCATCTTAATCAGGGTTCACGAAACCGAGAACTTTTGTCGGTTTCCTGAAAACCGGTAAAATTTGAGCAAGTTTTGCAAAAAGTTGAAAGTCACAAATGATTTGACCGGTTTACCGAGCTGTCTGTTAACTCGAGCCAGCTCGAAACCTAGAAATTTCGCAAAAGGATGGTGGTTTTTCTCGGTTTGTTAATCTCGATCTTATCCCAACCACGTGATGATTCTGAACTGATTGATAAATTCTCGTGCCGGATTGGTCGATTGCCCGTGCATTTTACTAATTTTTTTTACAAAAGGTAAGTAGGAGTATTCCCTATTATATTAATAAAGAAGGCAAGACTACTTTATAACCACCCTTTCTTAAAAGGGAAAATTGAAACCATGCCATTATAATTTTACAAAATTTGATATATGCTGTTATTGACTCATGTGGGTCCTACATGTCATTGAGATACCGATGGCATATCTCAAACTTTGCAAAATTATAATGGCATGGTTTCAAATTACCCTTCTTAGAAAAGGTCTCCCAGATGATGATTTGCTAAGCATTAGTAAGTCAATTAGCAGACTAGTCCATATTCAAAGGGCACATCAAGTCATGGAGGCTTGCGTACGTGCACTCGGTGTGGACAATGGTCAAGTAATATTCGGTAGACCAGATACTTGAGTTCAGATAATTAACAACCAGTATTCCATGATCTGGTAATAAATTTCGTTTATTTACATGACCAAATGTATCCCTGATCGGAATTTCAAGAGGGGCTAGAATCTGGTAGGAAATTTCACCTTGGAGAAAGATTTGACAGGAAGGTGAAAAGGTCATATTGGGAGTACTAGTTAGGTACACCGTACAGGCCAAAGAGAGGCATTATTATTGGGCGTAGTTTAATATTATTGGATTATGCATACACATCTTTGAAACTATATTACTGGTGGAGATTTTAGATTTATAGAGTCTAGATGTTGAATTAATGTAACAGATGCACATTCAATATATCCTGATTTGTTTTATGGTCTTGCAATGTCAAGCGATGATGCATGCTTCCCATGAATGGATGACGTACGTTTATCGGGAAATGGTCTTACACACCAATTATGTCAGACTATCTTTGTTGGCAAAAGCTTAATTAGGGTCAATAGTGATGGCATTTGAATCCATGTATTTTATCGTACCTTAAATACTACTCCCTCCGTTTTTTTTTACTTATTATGTAGGCCACTGATATCCAATGTACATATTCCACAATTATATTTTATAACCAAATATTCATAAAAAATAATCAAATTATGTTTATGTAGATATCTAGTATGCAAGCTTGAGTTGTTGAACAGTATTTTCATTGTCAAATGGTATGACATGCACATATCATATTTAAAGTTTCTCTCCAAATTGAACATTTCTCTAAACGCTGTAGGTCAAACAAATGGCATTTGGATCCATACGTACATTATCTCTTAACAATCAATATGCCCACGTAGGATCTAATTAATCTCACTTGCATACAAAGAAAATGTTCTTTTATACGCACCACATACTTTATTTCTTCGCAAAACCATAGTGTCAATAGATGACATCTGAATGCAATAGAGACATGTTATATCATACCCAAGTAATACGGCGTCTTCTCTTTTCACTCCTCGATTTGGATTTAGGACATCGATTTATTAGTCTCCAATACAATATTTAATCACTGCATTTTATAATCAAATATTCATAAAATTATTAAAAATATAATTAAAATGAAAGCATTTTTCTTACCAGCAATGTCATTTAAACATATCGAAGCTGAATATAATACACATATTAGTTAGTTGTTTAAACATATTAAAGCTGAATATTAATACACATATTAGTTAATTATTTAAGACTTTGAGGTCAACACCATGCATTGCAACACTATTAATTAGAGTGGAGGTTTTACTCTCAAACTATTACTAATTTTAATACTTGATTTACATTACAAAATCTCTTGGTGCATTTGTACCATGGGATTTAATTAAGGGGCTGCTATACCAAGTCATCCTATATTCCAAACAGATGATACCATGTTTGTATTAGATGATACCTATGAATAGTACAGCATGATATTTGTCGTTGTCATTGTTGTCGCTGAGCATGTTCGCCTTGCCTCTTGTTGCTATTGTTGCAAAGCTCCTCTACATCGCCTCCCGACCATTGCCTCGCCTTCATCATCGAGTGGCCATGGAGGTGCTCATCACCATGGATAGTAATGGGGACTCTTATAGTGTCACACCCAACCTTACCCAATCTACTTTTTAACAACGATGGTACCATGCTCTTTTACTCCTCTCTCTCTTCTCACTCATTTTCTCTTTTTTTCACCAGATTGGTGTGCAATGACCAACAAGCGATAACGTTGGGCTTGGCTTTGATGGATCCAACACAGATCCACTAGGGTGGCGATGGAGCATGAGCTGCTGCACTAGGGACTCAAGGGACTCGAGACCCAACAGATCCACTAGCACGATGACAGAGGAGAGTGAGCAGCGATGGATCTGGTGGCCGGGGCTCGGTCTCCCTTCTCCCAGGCACACGATATTATGGCGGCTCGACCAACAGCGAAGCTCGAGTAGACAAGGAGCATATTAGAGAAGAAGAAATGTAGTGTAGGTGGTAGGCAGCTCACCTCTGATCAGGCACTGGTGCCGTGCACCCCTTCTCTAACCATGCGTAAAAACAAAAATAGGGCCCACATGTCAGTGGCACTTACATAACATTGCATCCACAAAAATAAAAAAAAAATGTAATAGACCCACAAGGCAGTTACACGTTGGCCTCTCTTCTTCCTTCCCATATCTCCTCTCTCTCTCTGTGTGTGGATGTATGTCTCAACGATGAGATCGATCGATCAGGCCGTGGTGGCACCCAAGCTTGACGAGGGGAAGGTGTACCATACGAACAAGGGGACGGGATACTGTACCTTAGTATATTACCGTTAATTAATCTCAAACGGATAAGAGCAAGGTGCCTCGTCAAACATTACTTTAAAATCCACCATTCAGTCTTATTCCGTACGAAGGTTTCAGTGAATGTATTGATCGTGTTGTCACAGTCAGCTTACTAGTATTTGACAACTACTAGTAAGTTGTTTATAGTGGTTGGCAGCATACTAATTAAAATATGTTGGTATTAAAAGTATCCTCAGAAATGGTAGTGGAGCATGTGCTGGAGAAACATTATTTCACCCGTTAATTAATTTTACAAACATATGATTAATTGGAGACCAATTAATTGTACATATTGTCTTCGTCTCAAAATATAGTAACTTTTGGCTATGATATGGACACAAAAGTAAATTTATAGCATATATATGCGCAACAAAGTAAGAGCCTAAAATTTGCTAAATCTATGCTTACATGTTATGCATTAGGGAGAGTCAGAATTTGTGTGTATTAATTAGT